AGCACACGTGGCTTCCCGTTAGCTCGTGCTCTGGTTTGAGGATCAAATACGCGTGTGAGCCACTCTAAGTTGATCTTGGAGTCGTTGTAGCCGTTCTCCGAGTGCGCATAATGCCACCCCGGGGTCTCGTGGGTAGTCCAGTTACTGCGATGAGTTGAAGCGGGCCATATAATGAGTGGCAGCAGCGCCCTGCCATCTGCACTCACGCATTCGACTGCGGTGACTATCGTCCGCTTTACGCCCCCACCTCTATAGTTCCGTCGGTCATCCTTACCTACCAGGACTTTGACCGAGCCAAGCATGCTTAGCATGACGCCCGTTTCGTCCATGTTGTACACGTTCTCTGGCAAGACAGCCGGGTCCTGCAGCACCTGTCCGATTATCTCGAACCACTCGACTATCTTGCTATATACGTTGTTCTCGTGACGTTTCTAATCTATCGACTTGACTTTTCTCGCTTGTAGCTCTGGGTGACGCTCTGCGAAGGCTTTCGGCCAATTCTTGCCCGGGGGCTTGATCGGTTGCGTCTTCGTGGACCGCTGACGAGCTATACTATAAGCTAGAAGGCTTATGAACTTGATGCGCACTGGGTGGCCAAGGTTAGACATTAGTAGCAAGAACTGGACTAGAGCTTTCTCCTCCTCTCGACTGAGGTACTGCTGGCGCTGCGCCTGCTCTTCGCGCGAGCGTCGGCCGTTGCGGCGATGAACAAGGGTAGAAATTGGAACATTGCTATGTTCTGATCGAGCAGCATACGTATCACGCACGCCTAGAGGCAAGGTCTGCACCAGCGCTCGGCTGGCTGGGTCCATGTCGGCGTAGGTGATGAGAGGAGGGCGGGCCGACGAGGGCGTCACCCTCGTCTTGCCCACCCTTGACTTCTAAGAATAGCAAAAAGGCGCAGCGCGCGTGCAGAGAAGCTTCGAGAAGCATGCGCCACAGCTAGAGCTTCTTAGGCATAGGGGCAGGTGTACAATGTAGGCCGCTTAGTGTAAAGTACGCGCTTTCTTAGCGCGTGGAGAATCCTTGCGCAAGTGGGGAGGCCTGCACGTCTCCGTGGATAAATCCGGAGCAGATGTTCTCGATTGCTGCAGGTCTTCGCACTTTGCGGGCCATATTTTGACACAGTAAGCCATACATTAGAGCCTCCGAAGTGGCGATGATCGTGGGGTCCGACAAGAGAACAGGGGTGCATCGTTGTTGAAGCTTCCGGCAGTGTTGAAGAAATATCTGTAAGTATGCGCAAGACCGCTGTAATTTTACGGTTTAATCCTTGCGGCAGGTTGTGTTCTCACTTAGGTATATCACTGTGCTTGTTTGAGTTTTGTAGGACAGTGGCTTGAAGCGTGGTATTGCTTAAAATTTTTCATGGTTCTGCGCGGTGGGATGTTCTACCCGTAGGGAGGGAGGTTACCCTCATTTTGCAAACACAGCCTTTGATTTCGCTTGTTCTTCCTTGTGCAACTTCTCATGACTCTGCAGCTTTTCAAAGTCTTCATTAACGCTGTGGCCGTCATCGGAATTTGTACCATAGTCTTCTTCCCACCAATGCATTTCTTTCCAGTTCATCGTGCGATTCCAGACGCCAGGGTAAAGCTTTTGATCGAATCCTGCGGTGCAGGTCATCTCCAGCATTTTATCCAGGTCAATCATATCGTCATAATCTGGATCCCACTTGCCATATCTGTACCATGGCCGTAAACCTCGGTTGATATATCGTGAGTCTGATGTGGTTGTAGCTAGTGGTCTGGCTACAGACGAGGCCCGTCTCCACGTGGTGGGATTTCTTGCAGTTGGTCACCATGCCTGGCTGTGTGGGCTGGGGCGTTTGGATGCCGTTTCCTGCACTTGTGGTTGGAGTGGATGTTGTTTGGACTGTTGTTTGGACTGTTGTACCTCCAATAATGCCCACACACACGTTGACGTTTGGTCGCATACCCGTGCAGTCGTTCTTGACAGTTGGATTCAACTTCACGAAATCGGCGAGAGTGAACTTCTGGAAACTAATGACCTATCTACACGTCACGCCTGGGGCGATCCAATGGAACTTTGCACAGTTCGTCACCATTTGAGGCTGTGTGGGCTGTGGGGTTACGATAACGTTTCCTGGGGTGGCAGTTTGGTGCTAGATGACTATAACATACAGCTAGATCGTGATGAGCTTATCGGGATGCTTGAAGTAAGTCTCGATATCTCCTTTGTCGGTCTCATTGAAGACAGGCATTAGATACACAGGTGAGAACTTGCACCAGCCATGCCACTTAACCCTCTGGCCAGTCCCACCCCGACCCTGCGCAGCAAGAACTTTGGGCTCTTCCGTTGCGAACTCGTTCTTACTAAGTAGCTTGACAAACACCCTGCTGGCGTTACGCTTCAAAGTCCAGGGCATCGCATCGTCTGGCGGCATTGGTCCGATTAGTTCAGGCCCGTTTTCGATACTATCGAGTGAGTCATCGTCTATGATCAGACACCAGTCAGTCTTGGGACCGCAGTTGTACCCCTCCTCTATGACTTCGCCTCCAGCGCCAAGAAAACTGCCAGCGTTCTGGCGGAAATGTTCACAGACGTCAGCGAGCGAAGCGCCAGGAAGATACGCAGCGGGTTGTAAGCGCAGAGTGTCAATCAAATGTTGATTGTACGGCTCTGGTTGCTCATAGCGCAGGGTATCGGCAGCGTGGGCGTGCAGCTTGTTCAGCACGGCCTGGAAGTGTTCGCTGTCTACTAGATACGCAGCCATTAGACATCCCTCTCTGAGCTCGAATTGATATGATTCACCCGCTTTCTCCTGGGCTTTGCCCTCATCTTTCTCCTTGTCTGAATCCTTTCGCTTTTGCGGGCGTGTGTAGGTGCCATAGACATAAAAACCCCAGGTGGGGTCGACCCAGCCTTTGATCCTTTTCAGAAATTGCTCGCAGCGCAGAATATCGTGCTTCTCCCAACTGCTTAGCGAGGCCATGTCGCGTCGTTTATTGTTGCGCTTGAAGGTGGTTGATGTTAAGGTGCGAGCCTCGGCAAGGTATACCCTCATTAGATCATAAATCTTTTGGCCCCCAAATCCTATCCCAAAATAGCCGCCGGGCGTTGCTCTGGCACAGCCCCTCTTACAGGAACATACCTAGATATATGAGTCTAGGAAAGTAGTCGTAAGCAGGAAACAAATCGACGACATGTCGGTGACGTCTCATTCATGCTGCCAGTGCAGTTCTGGCATGAACGTTCATCACAGTGCTATCTGCGATGGCTGCGATAAGTACATCTACGGTGTCCGCCACAAGTGCTTGGACTGCCCAGACTGGGATTACTGCTCTGACTGTCTCAAGAACGCCGAGTTCATCCACCCTCATCACCACTTCATGCCCTTTGACGAGTGCTGCAGTGGCGACAGCCACCGGGCACAAAGCGCCTCCCCATCCACCAACTCACGGCCAACGCCGCCTACCTACTCATTGCCCACTTACTCACCTCTTGAAGGCGACCAAATCCGGCTATTGCGAATCTTACCAACGACCGTACCCGGCGGGAGCGGCCACTACCACCAGGATGGCGAGGAAAGTGATTGTGAAAGGGAGGACTGCAGAGCCATTACTGAAAGCCTGTTTGAGAGGGTCTTCGTGCAGGATTTCGAATGGGGCAAAATCCTGCGTGATGAAGTGTGTTGTGGAGATGCGTGCATCTGCACCGAGTGTGACATGATACAGTGCGAGCTTCTTACCGTTTCGTTGGAAGAGGTCTCAGGCGCTTTCGATGCACTGTCCTATGTGTGGGGCTATGCGGACGTCAAAGAGTGCATAAAGGTAGACGGCAAGACAATCGAGGTGACGATGAATCTGGAGGCAGCCTTGCGGAGAGTCAGAAACACGGAAAAGGCAGAGCTGCTATGGGTAGACGCTGTATGTATCAACCAGCGGGATGTCGAAGAGAAGAACATACAGGTCATGCGCATGAAGGATATATACACAATGTGTGAAAGAGTACTCGTCTGGCTGGGCGATGCAATAATCGACGGGACCGGAAACGACAGGGATGAAGTCAACTTTGCGATCAAGGCTATGTCTTTTCTGAAAAAAGCACACAGGATCGTGCGTGGGAAAGATATGGTTGGCAAATTGGATTATCAAAAGCTGTTCATGAGTAACGCTGGGGCCATGCAGCCTTTTCAAGATCCGAGCACGGTCGGTCTCCCCAAGGTTGGTGCTCCGGAATGGGAGAGCTTGAGCAAATTCTTAAGCAGGCCATGGTTTAGTCGCGTATGGATCATTCAGGAAGCATCGAGTGTAGACCACACGCTACTGATGGTAGGAAAGAATGCGAGACTCGGCTGGGGCCAACTGTCACAAGCGGTGAATTGGTTTATAGCTCATGCTTACCCAGACAACATAGACGGCCTCCGTATATTGAGCAATATCTCCATGATCGAAACATGCCGTAGGTATAAGACTCCGACCTTGATGCGCAGACTGGACCAAATATCTAGATTCAACTCTACCGTCCCGCATGACAAGATCTATGCGGTACTGGGCCTATCCGTCGAATCCCTGACACCTGAAAAATACCCGCGCTTACGCGTCGACTACGCCCGAGACTGGAAGGCTGTGTTCCGCGATGTTGCCAGACACTGCATCGAGATGCCCGGCTCCTACGGACCAAAGCCGACTCTTCATATATTGAGTTCAGTACGTCAGGAGCGTGACGAAGAAGGAAATTTTGCCTGGAACAAGGGACAATCTTCCTGGGTGCCCAAATGGGATAAGATCCACAGCAACTGTGCTATCGTGCAGCGCATGTCCCACTTTACTTTCCAAACAACATACGATACCGAACCGTGTATTGTCGAATCGCAAGATGACCGCATACTCTCCTTGAAAGGCATCATTGTCGACAGAATCGCGAAGGTATACACCCATCTGGATGATATCCGTAACGATCACGATCCAATGTTCTCCTTGAACCAGTTCCGCGCTGTCGTAGAGATATGGAAGGCCATCCTTTGGGGCTGGGAGGTTAATGGCCGCAGTCGGTACTCGCTTAACGGAGAAGCATTTGCGAAGGTCATTACGGGGGGTTCTGCTTGCGGACCGCCTGAAACAGGATCGCCTGGGCAGGACTTTACTGCGTATTACGAGTTTGGCCTTCAATATGCGAAAGAAGAGGAACCAGGCACACTTCCGAAATTCAGCGCTTTCTCTGCCCCAAATAAACGAGACATCGAGTCGCCCTGTATGAAGGACATCTCAAGTGAAGAAGCCTTGGAAAGGCTGTCTTTCATGGCGTTGAGATTCAACATCGCTGTGGATATTGAACGGGCCATCTTCGTAACTGCGACAGGGTACATTGGCAGTGGACCGCCGATTACACGAGTTGGAGACGAGGTATGCGTATTGTATGGTGGGAAAACGCCCTTCGTCGTGCAGAAAGTAACGAAAGGACCCAACTGTCCTGAGTGGCTGGACCTTGATATGGATCTTTCCACCAGCTCAGTCGAGAAATTCAAAGGCTCACTGAAGAGTTGGAATCCGTTCCAGAAGAAGAAGTTGAAAGAATGTACACCAGCGCCTGCGAAAAGTCATGCTCTTCCCCGCACCGACTGCTATCGTCTCGTTGGTGAGTGCTATGTTGAGGGACTCCAGAAGGGAGAAGCACTAGACCTACGAGACAAGGGCGATCTCCACGAGAAGGTATTGCATCTCGTCTGATGATCAGAACCTTTTTACACAGGGACTTACTAGAAGCTCTCGTCAACCTAACGAGGCTAAAATGCATGATGAGCCGTGTTATGGAGCAAAAAGACGCAAAAACATACAACAGCGGGGATTCGCTAGTGGTCACCCACCTAACTACTAATCCGCCGGTACACTGCTTGTATATGGCTGAGCGGACGGGAAGCCTAATTTTCAGTGTCCTATGGTCGTATGTGCAAATTTCAGCTTTGATAAACACTATATCGTAATGATTGCCGTTTATTTGGCAAAACCCGGAGAAGTGACTATCCATGCGCCTCAATGTGACGGATCAATTTGGCTTCGTACATAACTTCTAGTATTAATGAAGAGGGTAGGAAAATACCCCAAACAGCGCTGCAAGACCCCCAACGGTCAAACACCCAGCAGCGCTCTTCTTATCCTCCGGACATGTCAGCGAAGAGGCTGTTGTGCTGAAAACTGCCGCTGAGCTACCATAGGTGATTGAACATGAGATGCTTGCAGCCGCGGCAGGGTCGATGCTCGTTCGAGAAGGATCCGACTTACGGACAGAAGACGCCGTGGATGCACACATGTCGCCCTGACCTTCCCATTTATCGGTTTGACCTTCCCAATGAGCGGAGCTAGGGATATGGAGCGTATTTGTGATGTTGACCGCGACACCATCTTGTCCAGAGCAGCTCTTGTCCGTTGTTCCGGGCACAAGATCTACCTCTTGAGCGTCCTTTCTGATGGTGAGCTTCGTCGTGTGTTGCGATTCGTTTCGGATAAATATGTTGTTTGCCAACGAGTCTTCGGTACACACTGCCCAATTGAATGTCCAAGTGACCTACCAGATTCCTTCAGTCGCGAAGGTGGATTTATTACGTTGGTAAGTTGGGTATGCAAAGTAGGCGTCGTTGTTGGTAAAGTTTGCCCACCGCAGTTGTTCCAGATCGATTGACTCGGACGGAGCCCATTGAGGAGTGCTGCCGTCCGCGTTCTGGACTAGGTAAGCGTTGATGTGAAAGAGCGGATCAAGGAAAGGCGAAAACAATGAGCAAATAGGCGGTAGGCGCATATGTCTCGTTGCGCGGAAAGATCAGATCAACCTCTGCCACACCCGACGAGGCTCCAACCATCTTTGCGCACGTTGCAATGAAGACCAGGAAATGTAGCGTTAAGGAAGTGCCAATCGTAATACGCGCACGCACGTGGTAGGCCATGTCAGCCTGTGACCTAAGGTGTCACGTGATTACCTCACGGGTACAATAGACCCCTTCCTTGGTAGATAGGACCTCAGCTTTTACAATAACAATTCCATACCCCATATATTTCGCATAAGGTAGCCAAGTAATGAACAAAAATATCTGCGTGCCTCGAAAGAGGAAAAGTGTGGAGGGATATAAGTGCCGGAAAGATCCAGCGGAGGTAAGAGGATGTTCGTACGTGCTTAGCATTCACCGTAGGGGGCATGTCGCCCCTCCAATAGGAGCCCTGCATGGCTTGCACGGGGTTCACGGTAACGTCCTTGCAGTAGCGCTTGTGGCGAGAGTGTGTGGATGTAATCTCATACGCCTCGATGTAAGTTTTACCTTAATTGCATTGCGGCCCTGTTGACTGCCTGGTGTACAAAAGGATTCCTTAGCATGGCTGATTAACGTTTCATAACCTAAAGATTCCTAGCGTCGTTGTGTTTACGGCTGCACTGCCCTTTTTCCAGCCTGGCACTCTGGGCGCTTAAATAACCACAGCAAATCACCAGTCTTGTAATGCATCGTGGGCGGGTCAAGCTTTTAGGTTCGTTGACAAGCAGCAACGCTTAATTGTCATCCCGCAGTGGTGTCGACTTGAGCCGTGGGGACCTTGGATCTCCTGCAGCGTAGCTACCTTATTATGTTCTTACTTATAGAATCGTTAACAAGCCCGTCGACAGCTAATATTCTAACGCTCGGCGTTGACACTTAACCGTACTGGGCCTGAGTGGAAGAGAGGGACGAACGTCGCAATGCTAGGTGCAAGAAAAATTAGTATATCAAATTGACTTAACAATTAAAAATTTTGATCTATACAAGTAGCTAGCTCCGAGAGAACTAAACACTACGAAACGGCATGTGAACAGCCTGTAACATAACACATTCGAATCCCAGGCTCAACGTCTTGAAACCAACTCCGCACCCGCAGTCCCCATACTTAAATCCTGCGCCGCCATGAAAAACGAGAACCCGGCCTTCTTCGCTTGCCCAAACCACTCCAAAATGGGCACACTCGGCAGACT